ACGGATGTAGTTTTTTCAGCCGCCATCTTGGATCCGCCATTTTGAAATGTGATCAATTAATTTAAATATGAAGGTGGTGTTGTGACCCATCATTTTGAACTACTTTTTTATGCTGAACTCAATGCCGCAATTCGTTTTTCATTTGCATCTTTGGATTTTGAAATATTGAAATTTTAAATAAGAGTATTTTAATATTTCATCAAGTAAGCTTGATAACCAAAAACGGATTAAGGCATTGAGTCCAGTATAAAAAAGTAGTTCAAAATGATGGGTCACAACACCACCTTCATATTTAAATTAATTGATCACATTTCAAAATGGCGGATCCAAGATGGCGGCTGAAAAAACTACATCCGTCATAACCAAGTGAAAATATGACAACAATGAATGGTGGTGTATACTTATCTTTATCTAGCACTATTTTGAGATTATGGTCTTAGTTTGTTAATGCACAATGTTAAAATGGGCTAAAAATAAAGTTATAAAGATTCCTCATAACTTTAGAACGGATGAAGATTTTTAAAAACTAATTGCGGCATTGTAATCAGCGTAAAATTCTAGTTTGAAATAATGGGTCACAACCCCACCTTTACATATGAAAAAAAAACTTTGTATCCAATATGGCGGATCCAAGATGGCGGCCAAAAATGTATACCCAGTCAAAATGAAGTACTTACTACTCAACAATGATCTGACGTGGTCCGGAGATGATATCTTAAGAAATGTAGAAAAAAGTAGGGGGGGAACTCATTTAAAATTCACCCTGTATATACTATATATATATACTATATATATATATACATATATAAAAATTTGATCGAATGGTGTTTTTGGACTCTGGGGACATCAAAATGAAAAAGTAAATCGGTCCCGGACCTAGGTCTTACCGTGCCACCTACGGTAATAGCTACTTCCCTATAGGGAAATTCGCTAAAATTACCTCGAAGAGAGAATAATCTTAGTTTTACGCAGTTGGAATATATTGCTTTGAATCTAAAATCAGAAAATAAAGCAAATAAGGAACCCCTTGTCATAGCAAGCTAGTCCTCCCAAAATCGTCCCATAATAACTGAAGCTATTAAGCTATGCTTCAGCACGTGAAGTACACCATAAATAGATTAGTAGAACTGATTTTAAATCCAAGTCTCCAAACAAAATTACAAAAGTGGTTATGATAGTTCCTACTTGAGGGACCTCGATACCTTTTACTTGATACTTGTTTTTATCGTCAATAACAACTAATACTCCAGTTCAATTTGTTGGTAACATTACTAGATAGGTACTTGTTTTTTAGTGGTTGTTAGCGATTCTTGTTTTCAATTGTTTTTATTAATAATTTTTCAATTGTCGATAGCAGTTATTATGTTTACTGTCAGCAACAATATTCATTTACTGTCAGCAACAATATTCATTTTAGATTACCTTTTATTGTTGTTGCTTGAGTTATTGTAGCTAAGATGTCTTCAAGGATCTTCTTCTTGTCACTTCTTCTTATCTTCTTATCACAGTAAATAGTCTATACTGTATTTAGAAGAATACTAGCTGCTGTACCCGGAGAGGACACTGAAGCGAAAATTTTGATCTTTAATTCTGTTGTATAATATAGTTACATATTCCCCTTTGGTTTCAGGAACATAACTCAATTGAAACTCTTAGTTTGAACAAATATCTTTTTTAAGGCTAGGCTAACTTATAAGGCTACCTAGTGCGAATGATACATATAAAGTAAATAAGGAAAAATAATCGCACTACATAAGGCAATCTAGTAAAGCAAAAAGTCAGTTTATATTGATTTCACATATAATTGATTTGTTTTACCGTTGCTACTGAGATATGCAAAGTTCAAACTTGATCTGCAGATCAGTGTGTATATATCACAATAATAAGCAAAAATAAACTAATGGAAAACTTGTATTACCTTTTGTTAGAAAGCCAACCACTAACTATTGTTAATCAGGGCACAAATGTCATCAATTTTAATATAAATCAACAACAATACATAACAGTTATTATTTTAACTTGTTCCACACCGTAGTTCAAAACGTGTATGCATTTACATTAATTTACATAATCATTTAAAACATTGAGTAAAGAAACATAGTTAGTTTCAGATATTTAATTGATTTTAGAAACAAAAGTCAATTGCGTGCAGCTTAGTTTTGTGCTTTTCTCCATAGTCTAATTAAGGCAAAAACACAATTAAGGTAAAAACACAACTACTAAGGAGGTTTCTGCAAATGTAAAAAAAGTGAATGTGAAGTAATTGATAGAAGAAAATATAAGTAGTAGTCACAGAATAAAAGTAGGTATAGTTGAAATTTAGTTTGTAAATTGAATTAAAACACAAATAAAAGTACAAACATTGAGTCAGTTAATTTTTAAAACTGTACCAGTACATATATCTCTGTATAAGTTTTTAAACCTATAAAAATCCTGATCCAAACATTTGTTTATCAGTTCAAATTTGTAAACAAATAGCTACCATATCAAAATGGACATATTTTGTGGATTTGTTCCCTGGGCTAAGACAAACATAAAACACCGTATAAGTATGGGTCTAAAGTGCCTAGATTTCTGTCTGTCAGTCTGTTTGTGATTTTTATAAATTATTTTATATCTTGGGAATTTTTCAAGATAGAGATTTAAAATTTTGTAGGAATGTGTAGTTCTGAAATTAAAAAAACAACTGTGAAAATTTAGTTCCAATATCTTCAGCCCTTTCAATATGGTGGCCATTTAAAATCTTTAATGCCAAATTTCATGAAAACCTTAAATATTAAAAAAAATTCTTTACCTGACCAAAAGGATAGAGGATTTTAATACAAATCAAATGAGACCTTGTTTGGTTAATATCGGTTGAAAAATAACTGAGTTATCAGTTTTTTTCTACATTCGGATACGCAATTTAATAGGACTACCATACAGTACTTGAGTACATGGTAGTCCATTTTGCGTATCCGAATGCAGAAAAAAACTGATAACTCAGTTATTTTTCATCCGATTTTAACAAAAAAAGGTCTCATTTGATTTGTATTAAAATTCTCTATCCTTTTATAAAGGCAAGATAAACATAAAAAATGTGGAATAAAAAGTTTTTGCATATTAAACAACGGCTGAAACGGCTTAAGATATTGGAATAAAATTTTCACAGTTCATTTTACTTTCAGAACTACACATTCATACGGAATTTTAAATCTCTATCTTGAAAAACTCCCAAGATATAAAATAATTTATAAAAATCACAAACAGACCGACAGACAGAAATCTAGGCACTTAAGACCCATACTTATACGGTGTTTTATGTTTGTCTTAGCCCAGGGAACAAGTTCACAAAATATGTCAAGACAATTCGGAAACACCCTGTATATTAGTATAGATTTATACTTGTGTGCCACTATAGCAATGCGATGACGTACACGCGACTGAGTCACGGGAGGTCTTTCTTCTTCCAAAACGGAGGAAGAAAGGCAGATGAAATGAATAGGGTGACACAAACATCTTACCTACTCAAGAACTACAGGCTACAACAACAAAGGTTATTTAATATAATTCAAGCTTTCGAAACTGGGATAGGAAAAATATATATTAATATTTATCAAACACATACCTCAGTAAATGTTCCTTTCTTGGTTTGTTCCCAGTTGGAGGATGTTTCTCTGAGAATCCAAAGGAACACCAGACTAATGATGGACTACCAAAGACACAATCGCGTGAAGGAGACGCATGGACGTAAACAAGCCGAACATCTCAACTATATGGTGCTGTTGTGGTCTTCTGTCGTTACTATTTCCATATTACTCGTATCCGTAGTTCAAGTCTTGATCCTTAAAAAACTATTCGATGGTATTATAAACGGGCGTGGAAAAGAGCCAAAGCTGAGGTCTTTTATAATGAGCGATTATCATTGATTGTTTTCTAATTGTAACAAACCCTTGTTTCTTTAAATTGATTTATGTTTGTGATCGTAATAAAATTATGTATAACAATTTCAGCATCTTCTATTATTAATATGTTGCACCTGTTTATTTCATGAAGAGTGTGTATTGTGTGATTGATAGGAAACTTATTTTTTGGTTATCCTAATTCTTGTTGCAAATTGGGTATGTTAATTAAACATCATTAGCAATCTAACTTCTTTAAGGGATAAAACTAAAATTGTAAAAACTATGATTTAAATGATTTAAATTACTGAATGAATTTAATCTATAGCTCTTTAATTTTATGTGCTTTCCTTGAAAAAAAAATAATCTTAAGTAGGTGACAGTTTGGAATAATTTACAGGGGGCAGCTCATCACAAAATTGTATCAAGATACAACAGACTTTAAAGTTGCCTCCAAACTGTCTATGGTTCAGTTTTTCTAGTCTGCAACAAAAATTTTTTATTAACGGAAAAAATGATATCTTACAAATAATTTGGCATGATCACAGTTGGTGTAAAGTAAACTATTAATTTAATAGTGTGCAACTGGTGTTATAATCATGATAACAATTGTTTGAGTTTTTATGAGTATTATATTATATTATTGTAACAGTATATATTTGTATATTAGTATTAGTTGATGTCAGTATTTTAGCAACATTGAGTGTTGCACATTTGATCTGTCACTATCTACTGAAATGAAATTAGAACATACTTTTGATTAAATTAAATGATTAAATTGATCTTTATTTTATGGGATTTTAAACATTCTTTGATTTTTATAAATCACAACTTTATGGCAAATGTTATTCCTATGTATGTAATAGATACATTACTGAGAAATTGTCTAAAACCCTAAATCAATCCATATCTAATCATATAGAGAAAGACTAAACATAGTTTACATAATGTTTTTGGTAAGCTATGTTTACAAATCATACAAGTTAGAAAATGGTTTTGCTTGCTGATTATGAGTTTGAAGACTGATTATAGGTTGTTTAACTGGGATTTTTTTTTAGTTGTTCCATCCTTGAACTGGTTTTTGAGGTGAATGACTTTTGCTTCAGTTGATCAGCTGCTAGCCTGCTAACCTCTCCGTTAAACATTGTTCAGCACTGAAATATATGGTTTTACTTATAAAAATTGAAAATTATAATGCTCTCAAATGATATTCAGGGTTATATTCAGGGTTTCATGAATATTATATTCAAATCTAATCAATAAACATCAATGGGAATTTTATTGGTGAGTAGAAGAGTAGATTTTTGGTTATGTTTAAGGAATTCCCCTGTAGATGTAATTGTTCTCTTATACATTTAGTTTTAAAAGGTTCTGTTAATAATAACAACTTATAAGTGCTTTCTGCTTAGTATCAATTTATATTCTAAGACATTGTTATGAGTAAGGAAGACTTTTAAAATAATATTCCGGCATGTTATTGACTTATAAGAAAGTACAAATTAATTTAATTTGATATGTTTTTTTTATATGAAGGGGCTTCAATTGCTTCTAATAATAAGAATCAAAATAGTATCATAACAAAGATTTAAATGATCAATAATTCATTAAACATAGCCAGTTTCCGGGTTGTTACAGTGCTCGCCTTACAATCAAAAGGTTGCTAATTCGGAGCTGAGAACAATCATTAGCTTTTGATGGCTCGAAAACAAGTCCAGTTGTCTTTGATCGAGTTTTTAACCAATAGTCCTGGCTAACAAAACAGCTGATCTTAGTAACAAAGGTAAATAATAAGGCAAGACATCTCATTTGAAACTACCGCTTAAACATTTGCATTCAATTTAAATTAAAGTACCACCTAGATACGGTTTCATATCCGTTGTTTACCCGATTGGACACACTAACTTGCTTCAGTAAAGTACTGCATTTAAGATTTCGGCTACAATCCCAGCTTTTGAAAAAAGCATGCTTGAGCAATCGAGCCCACAACATGTTGAATGTAAAAAGACATTTAAAATATCATCAGTTGGTTTTTACTAGAAGAAGTTCTTCATGTATGTACTCCATATTTAAGTACCGGTAACCTTTACCTTAATTGTTATTTCTATATAGCTCTTAAAGCTAAACTTGCTAAACGTTGGCTTTGAACAAATGAGACTTGGCATTATCACTCAATTGGTGATTGACAGGATCTTAACCTTGATTTTAATGACTCAAGTCAAATGACTAGAGCAGCTACCTTTAAAGGTCCTTTAAAATATTGCAATTATTTTTTTTACTATTTTGTAGAGCTTGACATAAAATAATCTAGTATTTCGGATCATTGTTTTACGCTTAGTGGTTATGAAATATTCCAAAATATAACTGTACATTTAAAACTAAAGTTATTCTTATCCCCAATAAATAGAATGTTTTTGTAATGTAAGCCTACCGGTATGGAAAATATACAGTATTTAATGAATTTATAAGAAATAGTTTGAAATGCATCTCAAATTTTCCTGGACCAACAAACTTGCAAGTATAAAGCAAATTTAATTTTCATTTTATTGCATTTAAATGCTATAAATCGGTAAATACTCATGCTATCTCGAGTGTTACTTCTATTGGCATGTCTTGCAGCTTCATTTGAAGGTCATCAAGAAATGAAGAGGCCAGACATCTAGTACTGGCCTCATGATTCAGATGAGAGTTGAAACTAGTTTCCTGCAAGGTCCTAGATTACATGAATGCAGGTATTTACACCAATTTATTTAATTTCTTATGTGGATGGAGCTCTTATTTTAAAATGTTCAAAAGGAAATAAAACCATACTTAGCTTAGTCAACATAATTTTTATCAATGAACAAGTATTTGAATAACTAGATGATTTACTAAAAAAATACGTCCAATGAATAGATTGCGGTTAACGTTGGAATTTGGAGTCCAACGGAAACTGGTAGCAACTAATATCCAAACTGTACAAAATGTATGACTTGTATTACAATTTAATCTTTGATATTATACTTCGTGGGTGTGCTAATTTATTAAAATCTTACTTTCTATTCCAGGGATCTTTTTTCTAATATGAAAAAGTGAATGTTTTAATAATCATGATTAAAGTGAAAGTAACTTTGATTTCGTTGGTATTATTGATGACTGAAGTGGATCCAGCTCGTATTCTTATAGTACTTCCATTCCCAGCCCACAGCCACCATATATTTAGCACGGCTATAATGAAGGCATTGGTGCAAAGAGGACACCATATTGTAGAGTACAGCCCTATACCTCCTGTGAAGCCCATAATTAATCATACGTATGTGGAAATTCACACCAGATTTGAAAAAGAGTTGTGTAAGTATGGTAAAATATACTCTTACAGTAGTTTGATACTTTTTTCAAGCAATTACATACATTTTGATGTGTCTAAAATTGGCGATATGGTTTTGGAGATATATATCAAGGATTGAACGGTAGATTCCCTTTTGCTTTGTGTCTTTTTGGTTGATACTTCAGATGATACAATGCTTACGAATAACACATGTATAATATACATCGATGATCACACCACAGGCAAGAGAAACGACACTGTGTTCTCTTGGCTGTGCTCACACAACACACACACACAAACATGTGCTGTTTTGTCGAAAGTTATGTAAACAAAAAAGTCAGAACTCATCTGCATGTAGTATCATTGACTATTGGATACTGACGAAGTAGACATCCCATATATGGACCAGCTGTCACCATTTTTTTATTAAAAAAAAGAGTATAGTTGTGTGAGCCAGTCACAAAATTCACTACTGTCGAACATAGTTGATGGGTCATAACAGTCTCTACAGCTCACAATAAGTTGTTCCATCAGTTTGACTAGTTAAAAAAACATTGTTTATTCGTTTTTTTTTTTTAAGAGGTTGGCGGCTTCTTTTAACCTTGCATATGCCCGTCCACATATACTAACTGCCCGTACGTAGAACGTATCCAGCAAAGCAAGGGGTGAGCCGGTACAGTACAAAGGTGAACTGTACTGATAAAAATCAATCATATTTAAATCAACCCAATCTGTTGGTGGCTTACATTAACTAGAATGTTTTTGATTAAAAAAACTAGGTGGCGATAACTTTAATACAGGGATAGAATGTCTGGTGGTATCAATAATCAAAGCTAGTATGTACAGATTTCACTTGCGGTTTTCCATTTTGTATAGTATAGTTCTGTAGTATCGCACATATGATGTGTAGTTTTTAAGATTAGCCATTCTTTTTGGTATTCACTGATAGGTTAATTTGTTTTAGGGGCGTTGGGTTTTAGGTCTCTGAATGTATGGGAGACTACTGCACAACTCCATGAAATATATTTATGAACTAAACAGAAAGTAGTAGGCTACCCTGATTTGGAAATGACCGAATTTGAATTTTAAAATAGTAAACAGATAGTTTACCCTGTAGATTATAAAATTTAAAACATTAGTAGAAAGTGTAGTTGAATGAACAAGTAAGATAATAAAGCAGTTTTTAATGAGAAGAGACATTATTTTTAGATGTACGATAACATTTAAATATCCAGCAGTGTATTTTCACTAATAATAAAACAATCAATTTATACAACTAATATAGTACATTACTAATAAATAATGAAAGCATAGATATCTGTATAGGAACAATCAACTTAATTTTACAGTTTGTTATGTGTTATTTGGTGTTTTTGTATATTTTGTTGGATGCGTATAAAAATAAAATAAAGTTGAAGTTCTTACAATTTGCCTAGGACTGTGAACTTACTCTTACAAGCAGAGTTTGAAAAGGACCAAATTGTGTCAAATCCTTCTATTTACTATTAATTCAAGGATGGTTGCTACTACACAAAACTCAGACTAATATACTTCTCAAAGCCCAGACAAAATAACTTAGTTATTTAAACAAAACAAAAAAATCTATCTGTTAAATTATCCTTTTGCTAGTCTTTCCAGAACTCTTCTTTTTCCTTGAATGGCCGGAAAAGCAGATCATAAGCAAGGAAGTGATTGTGAAGTATTGTGGATTGGGTTCGTTCAGACTCTTGGTTAAGCAACGGTCTATCTTATTAATACTACAAGAGGTTGTTTAATATGCAAAAACTTTTTATTCCACATTTTTAATGTTTATCTTCAAAAATTACTTATTTTAGTCTATTAACGTTAAATCATAATGGCACATCATTAAACTGTAAAATCAAACCGTTGAAGATGATAATGTAATTTAGTGTTTTCCATTTCAGCTGGATGGAGCTACGAGGGGTTCATACATCAAACAACACATTTGGACAAAAGTTTCTTCGGATGTAAATTTAGGAGAATATGGGAGATGAACTACCCAATTTGTGAAGACACATTTAGCCATCCCAACATACAGAAGTTATTGAAGTCCCAAGAAGCCTTTGATTTAGTCATGGTCGAATCGACATTCGGACAAGAATCGTTGCTAGCACTTGGGCACAGATTTTCAGCACCAACAATCGCAATAGAGACTCTACTCCCTTTCAGTATTCTCAACAGACAAGCTGGGAACTCGTTAGATATCTCTTCAGTACCTGATCTAACATCCCCTGTTTTTGAAAATGATCCAATGTCATTTATGGACAGAGTTTTAAATTTAATTTCCGTGTCATTGACATTGTTCCAGCATCATTATATCCACTTGCCATTGCAAGAAGAAATTGTAAAAAAGTACTTCAACGAACCCTTACCACCCTTGGCTGATATGGTATTGAATGTTTCTCTCTATCTTTCAAATTCTTATCCCACGACTATAAGTCATGTGCGACCCTATACTCAGAACATTGTTCACATAGGAGGAATCACAATTTCCCCAGACAGGGCTGATCTTCCTCAGGTAAAAAGGAGTTTTTAAATTGCCGATACAGTAGACTCCCTCTTATCCAGACTCCTTAACCGGACATCAGTTTAACCGGACTACAGTCGGCGCAGCACATCGGTTTAACTGGACTAGATCAGCAGAAAGTGGGCGGTACTGAAACGACTGTCCTCGTGGGAAAGATTTGAGACCAATGATCACGTGTCTAAATATGTAATAATCATTTTGGCTTATACGGTATGCATTTAAACAGTCCGTTTTAACAATTTTTTGGGGTGCAGGTTTAACCGGGAAACACGTTATCCGGACTGGCCTCAGTCCTTAGGAGTCCGGATGAGAGGGAGTCTACTGTAGTCAACAATTTTTATTTACACAGAAAATTCTATGGATCCAGTGAAGCTTGGAAACAGATAAAGTAGACAGAATAGTAAAAGTACTCATCTAAAATTAAAAATATACTAAATAACCATAAAACCACCTCTCTGATAAAATTTATATTTTAATCAATTTTGTACCTTTTTACCCAATCCAATCTTCAACCCAAGTTCCTATAAAGTTTTACCCAAGTTGTTCACCAATGTTTCTCAACCCAAGTTTCTACTGTGTTGATAGTCACACAATTTATCACACATCTTTTCTCCTTGGTACTGTGTAACAGTTTCAAGTGAGGAAAACATATGAATAGAAAGTTGTAAATCATTTTGATGTCTTGTTAAGGTTACAGTTTTCATTAGTTAAAAAAAAAAAAATATATATATATATATATATATATATGCTTTCAAGAGTAATATTTGTAGGATATGCAGTTTATGCAATAATAGTTATAAGAGTGTAAGACTAAGTTAGAGGCAAATGAGGTAAAGTTGTCAACTGTTGTACAAAAGCAACTTAGTATAGTTAATTAGATCAGAACATCATACGGAATTACTCTTTTGGTAAATGTTCAACTGAATTTGAGAAGGATTTTTTAATCAATAAATATTTTGAAAAAGAGCAGATTAAAATAGTTCAACGCATCATTTTTAATTATTTAAATATTAAAACAATGTAAATTTTAACACCTTAACAAGTTTTAACTGCTAATAATCCTCATCACTCATAATAACTCATCCGTTTCTGATCCTGAAGAATATGCTGTATTATTGTGATCATGTCAAACGTTTGTTTAAGAATTGATTATTTTGAAATCTTTTTTTAGGACATATTGAGGTTCATGGACAACGCTAAAGAAGGAGTTGTATTCTTCAGCCTTGGAACAGTTGTTCCCCTCCATCTCATGCCAAAAGACATAATACAGATTTTCATAAACGTGTTCAAGAAAATGCCGCAGAGAATAATATGGAAAATATCCCAGTTAGATCCTTCTTTTGATGTACCTAAGAACGTAATGGTTAAAAAGTGGGCCCCACAAGCTGGAATATTAGGTAAATTTAAGATTAAGTAAAGATTTAAGAAATTAATTTAGTTCATTTAATTTTAAGATTTAAGTTTAATTCAAGCAACGCTCATTTACTGGCGTTTTTTTTTTCTTGTTTTCAAGGGAAGACTCTAGGTCAGGATTTAAATTGTAAATAAGCAGGATAGTAGCTATAGCTACCCTTACTTTTAAAGAAGTATTCATAGAGATAGATGGAAATGGAAGTTTGGTTTTGTTAGTCTTGATGGTCCTTAGGCCTCAAAGAGCTAAAAACACAAGTAACTAACACAGTGCAGGCAACCCTTCTAGACATATTTGATTACCCAAAATATTATTTTTCTAAAGTTCATCAAGTATCATCTAGTTTTTAATAATTCAGATTAATGTGCTGATGACAGAAGACAAAGTTGAATTGTACATAACCCTTGAACAGATTAATTATAAAAGTAATTCCCAAACTGGTACATTGTCATTTTATAGTGAAATTCCTTAATATATCCTCTGGAGGAGTGAGCTGGTCTAATGGTAGAGCGCAGGACTTCGGTCCCTGAGGTCCCGGGGTCAAATCCTGCCAACCACCAATGGATTTTATCTAAGTGATAATGCCGTAACCTCTAGGTCTAGCCAGAAGTAATGTGACAAACAATCCCAGGCTCGTGCCTAGCGTCCTAAGACAAAAAATCTAAATTATCCTCTAACAAAGTAAAGCTGTTATAGTTTATCTTTAAAAACTACATATTTATCATTTTGGTGACTGTTTCAGCACATCCGAACTGTAAAGCCTTTATTACTCATGGAGGTCTGATGAGTACCCATGAAGCCTTACATTCTGGTGTACCGACTGTGGGAATCCCCTTCTTCGCCGACCAACCCTTCAATGTAAAATTCATGGAACATCGAGGAGTTGGAAAACAAGTTAACTTTTTCTCCCTTTCAGAAGAAACGCTCAGCAAGGCTTTGAATTTGATTTTGAGCGACCCTAAGTAAGTAATATAAATATTTTTCTTTGGGAAAATTATAATATAGCCTACATGTATAAATATCCAATGTTGCTTAATAAAAAAATCTAATACCTATATAAAAATATGATTACCTTTTATTAAATTGTTTGTCAGATACTTTTACGGCGTGGGTGGTTTAGGACAGTAGTTAAGAGCTGAACTAGCCTGGGGAATTAGATTCAAATCCCACTATTCACTGAAGTATTTTAACAATATCATGATACTGTATTACAGTTACAGCCTAGCTTAACCTGAAGGTCTACCCATCTTTTGAAAAATGATAGACCTCTCAAACATAGATAATTTTCTTTGTATTGAGATTTCCTTCCACTAAAATCATATTATAATAATGTATTTATTACACAGTAATTCCAGGAATACAAACTTTTAACACATTTAATTTGAAAATCTATCATTAATATTTACTAACAAAAACACCTTAGTTTGATATTTGAGTTAACTTATATATCAATGTGTTTTTATAAATATACTGATTAAGAGGTTAACTGTATAATCATAAGTCAACTTACTGTCAAGTACTGTCAGTGTCTCTGATAGTAATTGTATGATTTTCTTTCCAAGTTCAGAGGCTTTTGTGTCTTAAAGAGACAGGAAAAAGGAACCAAGATGTAAGAGAAGTTGCACGAAAATGATTTTCAAATAATTAATCAGTTGATTTTGGTTTATACCTAGCGACTACCCTATATTTTAGAATACAAAATAGACATTGATAAGCAATTTTGTAACAGATGCCCTATCAATAGCTTTCATTTATTTACTTTTTCTAGGGCCACTTTACGAACTTATACTATCTTATCAATTTCCAGGTACAAACAGAACGCTATGAAACTCTCTAAGGTTTACCGAGACCGACCATATACAGCAGATGAATCAGCAGTGTTTTGGGTAGAGTATGTTCTGAAGTACAGAGGAGCTCAGCATCTTAGACCAACATCAGCAACTATGTCATTTCTTCAGCTTTATCTGCTTGACGTAATGGCAGCCATTATTGTTATATTGTTGTGTGCAGGATTCATCATATATTCAACTGTTAAAGCATTGTTAACCATGATTCAAAGGAATCGTAAAACACTAAGCAATAAAAAGAAATTGAGAAAATAAAGTAATATAATATTTTACAATTTTGTTTCAGTGCAAAACTACCATCTATTCTGTACTGTTAAGGTAGATATAATGTTTTTAGTGTAAGTAGCTCTTAAATAATCCCTAACTGGGAGAGGGATAGGTAATAGTGCACTTATACAACATAAAACATTAAATCAAAATCAGTACACAAAAAAGTATATTCATACAACAAATTAAATGTTAAAAAATCGTAGCTTAGAGAGATAAATTTATAAAATATTTTATTCACATGAAATTTTATGAAAACAAAAGTTAACAGATAAAAATGGCAATAATTCCCTTAACAAAAAGAATTATCCACGAATACTAGAAAAATACCAGTATGGATCATAAACATAAACAAATGACGTTGTTGGCACGAATCCTGTACTAACAGCATTGGACATATGTTTTGGCAGTTCCATTTAAACAATTTTAATAATGTTTATTTTCGGGCCAAAAACGTCATTTGTTTATGTTTATGATCCATACCGGGATTTTTCTAGTAATCGTGGAATTATCTTTTATGCATGATTGCGCTTTGTAAAGAAAAATTAGATTTTTGTAACCAAAATACAAATACTACATCACAAAATACTGTTGATATATATACAAAACACGTATTAATAGAGAACAATAATCATTGGACATTATTCAAATTAATCAAGTGAAGAACACGATGTATAAGCATTAACTATACATTTTTCACTAGGACCGTATTTAGAATACAGTTGGCCACCGGCTGCTAACATCAGAGAGGCCCTTCTATGATTTGTCAGTAGGCCTATGTAGTTGGAACCTGGAACTGCAGTGGTTTAAATACATGCTTAAACTGGAAGACCTTTTTTGTTAAGCCTCTTGTTTTCCACGATAAGATCGGTGAATATAAATAAGAGTTCCATTTTATTTTTCAATAACGCGATCGCGGGGACAACATTATCGTCTCCCGCGTTCGTGGCAAAATCGTGAACACGAAACGAAATAAACGAATCATGCCATGAATAAATAAACTGAATTAATGACATTGCGTATTAATATCTTAGGTGGAAGAATGATTGTTAGCAGTTCCAAAAAATAAAAGTTATCAAATTTATACTCATGAAAAATCTTTTTTTTACTCAAGTCTTCATATTACTAGCGAGTTGTGATTATTAGACCACCCGTTAGTAAAGTTGACTGTTAGTGGCCTACTATCCACGAGTGACATAGTAATAACAATACTAAAACTATGAGGTTTTGATTATAAACATTTTTATTTCGTTAAGAATAGTATAATTATTTTTGAGCTGGATTGCAATCCTTCTACCACTTAATCATAAAATATATTGGTGTTGAATTAATTAATCTATATAATCCATTCATGGCACGAATTACTACCACGAATCTGTCGTGGTCTGCATATTGAATCTGTTTGAATTATTAAAACAAACATGCCTTTGACTGGCTTATTAGTTTAGCCGTGTAGTATATTTATTATGTAATTTAGTCAAATCTGTATCAGAAACTCATTTTCTCTTCATGCATTTTCACTCCGTATGAACATACAGTCTTCACTTTGTGAAATAACGGCCACGACAAGAATGTTCTCTGGGCCAAAAAAAAATCATGCAGACTGAATGAGTCTTTATTTACTAGATGTATTACAATACTATGTTAGCATTTGAAAATAGAGGCATAACTTTTAAATTTTAAAACTTGATTTTAAAGCAAAACAAGTTATTTTAATTTTTAAGTGTTAAATAATAATAGTTGTCGATGAACTAAAAACAAATTAAAGCTGCATAGAAGCCAGATTTCTCCTTTAAACCAATTGCAATGCACTTATTGCCATCTCTTACAGGTTTCTAACTAATCAGAAAACCTACAAAACAGATATTAGTGTGACAATTTAACACATTTAGTAAATAAGGTATGTTATTAAATCTCCGCTATCCACTTAAAAGGCTTATATATATATATATATATATATATATATATATATATATATATATATATATATATATATATATTATGTTTATTATGCAAGTCCTTTTTGTTGTTTTACTGTATTCAGGTAAATAATGACGATATACTAAGACTAAGACCGCTAAGACGATCATTTGACACATTTCAAGTAGACGATCATTGTAGCAGAACTTATGATTTATTGAGTTAAACTGTTAAACTTTTTACTAGTGTACATGATGCTCGAATTCGAAAAATTGCGAAGTATTACAGGCGTTATTTTAAAAGGAATAACAGTCATAATTTCCGATGACTTTAAAGAGTCAACTCAAAGATTATGGAATACTCACGATGTACATAACAGTTCGATATAATCAACATTGATTGTAAATATATTATCATAATTTTCAAAAGCTTAATTATCTTGTTTTTTAGTGTTTTCTACAAATGTTTCCCACTCATAGTCGCATTAGGTTATCTATAATAACGATTATAAATTCTAAAAAAATCTATTTCTTCTACTTGGTAGTGTGATATGACATTCCTATATTTCCATAGTTTGCAAATCGGCTCTTTCAATGATTGCTCAAGAAATGCAGCTCAGTGTTAGTTCAGTTTTTTAGTATATCAAATAGTCCAGGCTTTCTCGCATTCTTCCAGTATAATATTTACGCCAACAAAAATTCAAATAGCAAATACTTCATTTCAACCAAATCAGTAAATGTTTGTAGTACACGTTTCCTTAAATTTCAACCAAAATATTAACAGCAATTAAATAATAAAGCTGATCATAATGTAAACAAATATGTTCTTCATAAGGATAACATAGGAACTTTAAAATCCCACGGGGGCAGAGCCCAAAGGGACTTTTTCAAAAATGTAAGGTCAGTTTGCAAATCTACTCACCTTAACGAGCATTTTGGCAAAACATGTGGGGTTAAATCTTAAAACAAAAAAGCCTTATTGTTTACAAAGTTTCATGTAGCGTATTAATAATATAGATGTTTGTTTTGTTTAAGCATTACATTAAATTTTTTATATACAGATACACAAAACGACAAAGATTTATGTTGGCGTCTGTCTAAAACCTTCGAACACTTTATTCTAAAACTTAGTTCTTTATTGGCTGTCATTTTGCTTAACTCGTTCGTCGTGTCGCTTGTCGTTGTTCTACTTTTACATTTGTCTAATGTTTACTGTTCCACTTTTAAGTTTCATCGTTCGTTTTTAAGTCGGTTGGTCAGCCGTCTTCTGATTTTCATCAGTTATTTGTTTGTTTGTGTATTTAAGTATATACTTATTTTTATTAAATTTCAGCAACAGAGCCCGTTGTGGTTAAATACAGCGATCTCTAGGAAGATGATGGTAATGAAATCCATACACCAGTTTACTCACTAATAATTATTGGTTACAGATTAAGCACATAGCTTTAGGAACACACTAAAAATAAGGAACACACTTTAACCACAAATGCGAAATGTGGACAACAACATGTAAATAAAAAGAAAGATCATTGAAACAACAATACAACAAATCAGCTGTTTATTAACACATGTTTCATATGATCAGATGATGCATACCGGCAAACCCATAACTGTTATAATCAAACTATCATAATTATTTTCAAATCTACAATACGGTACAGTAGAACTGCAGATTTAGCTTTACAAAATTCAAAAATTCTCTAATTCAGTATTTTCTAACAACTATAAATTTGAAGGTTGCTTAGCTTATCAAATAATAAATAAGCCATAATAACTTTTAAATAGTGGGGAAATCGACCAAAGTGGATGGTTATATTCCGAAATAGAATAAAGTTTTTACAATCTACTATTACTTATTTCTTGAAAATACTCAATAAAGGCAGCCTGTAGTTGGCTACAAATAGATACTTGAAAAAATCGTGTTTAATGTATTCTTGTTTTTCTTTCCTTTTCACCACAACTATTTAATAAAATCTCACTTTCATAATTATTTGAAATTCTACATGAATTAGAGAACTGTACATTTAGTTGTACAAAGTTTAACAAAAATGTCTCTAGCTTAGTTTTTACTCACCACGACAAATTCGGGGTGTTTTTGCAAATAACTGAGAAAATTGAACATAGTGGAAGGTGATGTTCTGAAAGAGAATAAAATTCCCTTCAAATTGCTATTAGCTCAGAGTAATAAAACAAAATATCTTTTGTTTTATTACTCTGAGCTATTAGGCATTTCTCGAAAATACTCAATAAAGGCAGGCAAAAGTTGTCTCAAAATAAAAAAAAAGTGTAAACCCCCGTTTTCAATGTTTTTCTTACAGTATGTATTTTTTACCATGAATAATAATAAAATCAAACTTTCAGAATTATTTTTCGAATCTACACGAATTAAGCTTTCCAACGACCCATTAATTAATAAAATCGGTCTACTAGAGCTGTACATTTGGTTGTACAACACTTTTGAAAACTGAATTATATATAAGTAAATATGTAAAGTTATAGTAACTAATTCGATTTTAGTCATTCGTTTGTCCTACCTATATTTGTTGTTTATTTATTTATATTTTTCACTGCACAGTCACCTTTTTACAGAAATACAAGACAAGATTTGAGGCTCATAACTTAATAGCCCTCTATCCGTTACTTCATTGCCGATCAGCTGATATGCAATGTTGCAATTTTTCCTACACGGTTTAGTGTTGTATGGAATTTATTGTAAATAAGACACAACATATGGTGTTTTTGTAAGCTCAAAGCGTATGTATTGTAGGTCTAATTTCTCTCTTTTCTACAGATCAGGTTCACCTAAATTTTTATCAAATCTATAAATAGTTGAGTTATTTTGTACTAGAACCACACCTGTAATAACTATTTGTGTATTAAGAGCGAAAAGTATGTTATTGCCGCTCGAGAACTGTCTAGATGGCCGCACAAATCTTGAGCTGATTGTGGCCATGCATTTCGAGAGCGGCAATGGCTGTTAGTGCTTGTAATACGTACAAGATTTTTTCCTAGCATTATAATTAACTTGTACCTGATACGCAGCTGCGGTTGGTCTAGAAACAACAATAG